ACCTTGGATATATGCTTGAACATGATAAGATAAGGAAACTCTCCGAATGTGATAAGATAAGGAAGCTCCCCGCATCTTACATAAGCGCCGTGACATTGATCCAGCTCCCTTATCTCTTATCCGGATGTACGTGACCGCACTAAGCCATAACTGCTTACAGTAACTATACCGTTTTGCCAGTCAAAGAAATATTAATGGAGGATGTACCTAAATTCAATTATGTGGATACCATGGGTACTTGTACCTAGGTACCAAATGTTTTTCCGGTTCCGATGATACAGTGTTTTATATACAACACTATATTATACTGTTATAATACAATAAAAAATAACACCGTGTTTTATAATCGAAACCCTACAATGAACTCTACTGACGCTTGGCAGGTGTTTCACCACATAGAAGCTACGACGTAAGACATCCCAATTTCATTAAATAGAAACGACAACTGCCAGCCAGGATTTGCTTACCTATACAAAAATAAAGAACTTATATGGCTTCGCAATTCAGCAGTATACTGGATTATGCGTCCGCAGGATTACTCACCTATTTACCTTCCTGTCTTCGTTAGAACTCGAAAGATACCATGGAGTTTTAAGGATTTACCCCTTCAATCCCATCTAAGTAGCGACAAGTTTAGGCTGCACCGGACCCCTGACTCCGCTAGATGTATATGATTAACCCCCGGCCGTTCTAGCCAAATTTGATACCGGCATCGCTTCCATGGTTCCATGGCATGACGATCATATCCGTCTGTCAATGAGACGGGCCGGGAAAATGGCAAATCGCCAAGTTCGGTGTCGGGTGAAGTATGGAAATTACCCTATTTTCCTACATATACCGTGTTATCGCGGCGGTGGTCTCGGAGGTCATCTTTTCCCACAGCCCCTCCCTGAAATACGAACAGTGATGGCTATCCTCAAGTTTCTAGCTACGTCGCTCGTAGTGGCGCTGATCCCGAGCGTCTCAGCACTTCTTGCATTCCCCGGAGCTGAAGGGTTCGGTCGAAACGCCGTCGGTGGCAGGGCGGGTTCAGTCTACCATGTGACCAATCTAGAGTGAGTCATTCTGCGCGTTTCCACGGAATAGCTTTCTTATGAGTGTTGTGCAGCGACTCGGGAGCAGGTTCGTTCCGCGATGCTGTGTCGAAAGCAAACCGTATCGTCGTTTTCGATGTGGGAGGGACCATCAAGATTACCACACGAATTGCTGTCTCCAAGAATATCTATATTGCTGGACAGACAGCTCCAGGTGATGTGAGTGCCCCCTGAGATATGTCGGTATCAAGATCCCCTGGATGTTGATAGTCTGGTATAAGGGCATCACGGTCTACGGCAATGGGGTGTCATTTTCCAACGCCGACGAGGCCATCGTGCGCTATATCCGTTTCCGCATGGGAAAGGGTGGTGACTCAGGCAAAGGTATCTTCCACTCTTGACAGGATTACGGATTCGACTTACATGGCTGGTTGATAGATGGCGTTGCTATTGCCGAGGGTAGCAACATGATCTTCGACCACGTGTCGTCGGCTTGGGGTCGAGACGAGACCTTCTCTATCAATGGCGACGTCCACAACGTGACGATACAAGACACGATTATCGGCCAAGGCTTGGAAACGCACTCGTGTGGTGGATTGATGCAGTCGGACTACGGTGTCAGTCTCTTCAGGAACCTATATATCGACAACAAGACGAGAAACCCCAAGGTCAAGGGAATGAATGACTTTCAAAACAACGTAAGCGTCGCCAAACGTAACATGTCGTACTTCGTTTGGCGCATTAATCGTAGTGCTAATACTTCATCAGGTTATTTACAACTGGGGAGGAGGTGGTGCTTACATCGCCGGGGATAGTGCCGGTCAGAGCAATGCCAACATCGTAAATAACTACTTTATCTCCGGACCTAGCACGGGCGTAACCGCTTTCACACGAGGAAATGCCAATTTCCACGGCTGTAAGTGACCATCTCATACCATCTCGCAAGCAGCGGAGACTTATTCTCATCAGACGTATCGGAGAACTACTACGACAATGACAAAGACGGTACTCTCAACGGTACTCCTCTCTGCGTCGAGACCAGCTGCTACAGCGATATGGACATCCAAAAGGCAAAGTTCAACTATCCAGGCCCCGGGCGTGTGATGGATGCTCCAGATGCCGTAACCCACGTCTTAAAGAACGTCGGTACCGTTTTCCCAGCGCGCGATGATGTCGACAAGGGTCTCGTGGCAGAAGTGGAGAGCTACGGGAAGAAAGGAGAGCTAATTAGTGATGAGAACGCTAGTCTCCTAAGCGGCTCCGGAGCCGGCGGCACCGCGACCGCAGCGACGGATACGGATGGTGATGGTATTCCCGACGCGTGGGAGAGTGCAAATGGATTAGATCCTAAAGACGCTAGCGATGCGATAAAGATTAGTAGTTCCGGGTATGCAAACATTGAAGTGTATGTCAACTCCCTCGTCCCCTCTTCATAAGGGGCTTGGGACAAGACCTATTAAGGGTTACCTACCTAGGTAGGTAGCAATAGATAGAAAAGCATAAAACTTATCTAAAATGAGATCGTTATCCTAGAAACTATTCACAAGTCATTGGCTTCCACTTTCTACCCATGATGGCCTTGTGAAGGCCAAGGTAAAAGGATCACTTGGTACGGTACTTAATGGTGAGAAGACAATTAGCAATTCTTGGCGCGATGTGCAAAAGTTTAATGTTAAAAGGTGAAATACATGTTTCGGTAAATGACGGCTATCGACGGAATCAAACTTTGGAAGGAGCAATCGAGCGGGGTACATAGGCAAGAACACACAACTCCCTAGCACCTACCCTCGCAGGGAGACCACTTCCTCAGAAGAGAAAGGCACACAACCACAGCCCTTGGTGGTCTAGTTGGTTATGGCGTTCGGCTGTAATTGAGAAATCATTGTTACCGAAATGTCGCTGGTTCGATTCCGGCCCGAGGGAACCTTATTTTTTTGTTTTCTTCTTTTTGGCAATTGCCATTCTTGTTTTACTCATTCATCGTTTCCTTTGTGGTTTTTATCGTTCTGTTGTTCCTTCCCTCCTTCCTTCATTTAATTTTGGTGGCAAATTTAGCAATTGCGACCATTTTATGATTTAAGAGTGAAGCAAGCGCGAAGAGCTTTGTGTATGGCAATTGACAAATTTTGCACGTACACTTTTAAACATGCCAAGACTGGTTAATTGCCTGCGATTCAAATGACATTCAATGGAGCATTCTGTTAGGAGTATGTAGGTATTGACGTTAGCCTTTCAACAAAAGAGTTATTTCCAAAATTATCTAGCTTAGTTAATTCGCATTAGACACCACTTCTTTCACGAATCCACGCTTAGACTATGCAACCCTTGACGAGATGGTCTTTTCCCCAAAACATAATAAGTGCCTTATTAAATGATTATATAGCTAGAACATTCATAGCTATTCATTTTCATAATATCGTATCATTTTACGAGTTAAGATGCTTAGACTATCAAGTGTTTCATATAACAACGTCTTAACGATAAGTATTTCAGTTTTTGATTTTACAAGTTCTCAACAACAACAAAGTCGTCTTATCACAAATATTTGCCAATGATGTCTATGAAGGGACAAGCTTGAAATACGTATTAAGCTGTGTAGCTAAGCGGGCAACTATTGTTGTTGTAATGTAATAGTATCCATCACACTTAGTTTACCTGTTATCATTTTTCTCCTTAATGAATATTTCTTTGGGCTAACAATAACAAAACTTATTAATACCAATGTAATCCTAACGAAAACATTACGGAAGAAAGTACAATTTGATATTGCTCTTTGGGTTACCCTCCTGATACTTCCTGTCAGCTGACTTCTCAGGTAGGTTACGTACTGGTTTTCTTGTTTTAAGGTAACAGTGGATAGAGGTTGGTTCAAGAGAATCACAATTTTTCTGTTCGTCAGAGAGATTTCAAGGTACTCTCACTACAGTATCAACGAGAGACTAGTTACATGAGGGATCCTATCCTTCTTATACTCATTCTTCATCTCATACACTTCTTGCAACAGATATGTTGGATACCTGTTGGATCGGGCTGGATCCCAGATCAACTGACATCTTGGTCAGTGATGTTGCGTCACACTCTTTTCTTCGGAGTGTTGGTCCGTAACACGAGAGCACAGTTGTGCTCTCCCAGACCACTTCCCATTGACCGGAAATCAACCAAGCCCCCTCCCAGAATTCCATGATCCATTGAAAACTTTCGCTCCAGAATGAGTCCCAACCCATGCTCCAAGCCATCCGTTATACCTAAATTGCATACATATCCTGTCCGTAGTCTACCTCAAGTCCTGCTCTGGGGAGTCGAGCTCATCGGACCGTGATCAGGGCTTTGCTCCTTTGTTTTCGAGCCGCTCACTCGATCATGATATGATGTAGGTGGGCTTCCCATATCCTGAAAAGCCTCCTTGATTCGTTGCCGTACCGACCGTTTTGGGGTACCGGCTTGGCTTTGGTCCTTGTCGTAAGAGTAAGCTGTAGACCCCGAGAAAGTTGAGGCAGATGAAGATTTGACGTCGGATTGTGGTCGGTATTGAGATTGCGCTGTCGCTGCTTGGTGGAGAGCCGCTCGTTGTTTCTGCTCCTGGTGATGAGACCAGACAAGCTCTGGGTTAGTCATCGCGAATGATGGTGAGAAGGAGGCCGTAGTGGTGTGATAGTAGCTTCTATACATCGATATGTAGATGGGAGCTTGTTGGATTTGCAGAACCTTGTTGTTGATTTATGGTGAATGTAGTAGTAGAGTGATGGCAAAGCAGGTGATTTATATATATATAAACAATTAGAGATTTTTAGACTTATAGTAGGTAGTAAGGATGATGTTGTTGGTTTACAATGGTTTCCAACCTGAGAGGGCAGGTTTCTACTTATAAGACTCAATGGGACTAATGTGGTAATATTCCGACGACAGTTGGAACAGGGGCTGATGACACAGCTCTTTGCACTAAGTCCACTATAGTAAGACTCTCACGCCCTACCCCTACGCCTTATAGGGTTATAGATGCGGGATGCTTAATTGATTCGTATGCTATTTACGTGACATTCTCGACATATGATGACTGCATAAGGCCAACTTGTTGCGAGGTCCGTCACTTCTGTCAACTTATGTGGTAACACATATTTGAGTCCTAGACCAATTGAGGTGAGGTCACGCCAGCTACTTACGAGTCTACTCGTACGTCAACACATCCAAATTCTAGGCATCTATAATTGTTGCCAGTCTACCTATGTAGTGCCGATTGAGAGATCGCAAGATCTTGCCATTTAGAACCCATTGTCCAACATGCCTTGCGAGATTGGAGTTAATTCCTGAGTACATATGAAGACAAATTGACGCGTCCTGCATCTTCGGAGATAGACCTTTTGTCATAAGCATGGATGGTAATGAGGGGAACAGATCTCTAAAAGATCTATTACTCGAAATTGGGGCCGTTCCCCGTCTTGCCCGGTGACTCACCAAGCCCCGGCGCGCCGTCGGTAAGACCCGAGATAAACCGGACCCGGAAACACCGTCTATTCATGAAATGCAAGGCTAATCTAATATGTGAAAGCTTGTCGCTTTAGCTATCTATCTCCATCTTAGTTCTTTAGTTGGTGAGTCTTTTTGTCGGGCTTCCATTTGCAGCGATGGTTGCAATAGGCTTCACGTTGATTTTCACGGTACTCTTAACCTGTTTAGATACGAGTCGAGTTGACTCAGACATCTAAAGCTGCGGGTTGCTGTTAAAATAGCATAGAAGGCTTTTCCAGTCACCACCTAAGTAGGTAAATAGCTACCGGATAGCGTATCAAGCACTGCCTCAAACTCCGGTTTTCATTGAGATCCTGATTGTTAATCTCGGTCTTACCTACATATTTTATGAGATAGCCTCATGTAAGTACCATAGCCAGCTAGAGCCAGTCAGGATTCGCATTCACTTGGATAATCCCAAATTTAATTGGTGAACACCCCTGTCTGGTACTTCGCGATCCCTGTCTGAAGCTGTGCTTTTAGGGGCTGTACGGATCCGAATTATACATCCATGAATATTAAAGAGTTTTACTAGTTAATGTCTAGAGATGAAGGTTTCATACATTGATCGCAAGAATCAAGGTTGATCATTGATTTATCTATGCTACCTCGTAACGGATTTCTTTTAATCCTGTGAGCACTTGAACCATTAAGCCTAAGTGCATTTACACAACAACCTTGCAACTGGATTCCGTCTTCAAATACCTCCAACCTACAAAAGCGCCAACAGCGCCGTAAGTAAGCTTAAAAAAGTCAACGGTATATGCGGTACGTATTGAGACACCAAGAGGAAGTATGATTGATATCAATCACCGTTCAGTAGAAAGTTTCTCGTCGATGACCTACTATAAGGTACGTTAAGAATACAGGATTTCTTGTCATAAGTTCAGGGAAAATGACGAGAATATGGGCTTCCTCCCTAGCTCCTTAATAGCTTCGTCCTCAATAAATTCTTCCTCAGTTGCTTACTCCTCAGTAGCTTCTTCAATAGCTTCGTCCTCAATATCTGCCCCCTCAGCCTTCCCAGTAACAATGTACGTAATTGCGGCACGTAGGCGTTCACCCTGCGGCTCCAACGCATACAATGGATCTAATGTATGCGAGACGCCGTTCTTGGCATCTTCAGATCTCTTCTCACACGGGAATAGTTCCTCGAACCGCTCCCGGACGCTGACCCCGAGGCTGGTAGGGGTATCGACTTCGCCAAGTTCGAAGCCAATACGCTCAACATCGCCGAGGACCATGATGTCATTCGCCATGGCATCCCATGGGGCACCACCAAGAATGTAGCTGTATGCGAACCACGACCCATGTCGGAGGACGCATTCTCCAAAGACGTCTATGCGCTCTGGAAAGCTGGTATCATCTTCATAGCGCTCGAAGTTGGCGTTGATGAAGGAGGTTTTCAAGACTTCGAGAAGGAAATATATCATTACAAGGTCTTCAGCGGGGAGCGTCTGAATGTACGCTGCCTGAACCGGTCTTGCCTCTAGGTTCGTGTATGGATCCATAAGTCGGTACCCCAATGGCACATCAAAGGCCTTCCAGTCTGTTTGGATTTTCTCGTACCAAATCTTGGCAATTGGTTTGCATGGCGTGTGAGCGGCGATGTCTGCAATGTAATCGCAGTGCGACATCGCTCGCTTCAGGATATAAGCCAGGTACTTGTGCTGCTCAAGACTCAGGGCGCCGATATCAGCACCGCTGGTAACATCGGCGAACTCCGAGGCGATTATGGCCTCGATGCGAGCAGTTCGAGTCTCCATCTCGTATGCCATCTCGAATGATGCATACTGGAGGGGGCGGCGGAGATAGATCTCCGAAGAGAACACGTCGCTGGACGGCGCAACCATGAACTGAGGTAGACGTCTAAGAAAGAAATATTGTTGCTGGTCGCATAGGATGCTGTGTGTGCGCTGTATATATTAATAAATTAGCTTATGTTACTACTAATACGGAAATATGAAAAATAGTCTTACCTTGTTAGTGCACATGAACTTGACAATTGACTTGATGTCAAGCTGCTCCGCGACATGGAGGATGAGTTCAACAGGTAACATATCCATCTTTATACGCCGTGATACAGCTTCTTCAGCTATGTTGAATATATTTAGGGGGGGTTGATCAATGGATGATAATGAAAAGAATTAGGTAAAGAATGGGAAGTGTGATAGAGGAAAGGCGATCGATGTATTAGAAGAAAAGGTAATTGAGGACCAAGATAAGGTGGGTAAGTGAAGAATGTATCGACCTCAAGGTTGGACGTGTTAATGAAAAAGTTGGGTAACATGAAGATTGATACAATGTAGGTGTTTATATACCATCCAGGTCCAATTGTGTTGTTTGCATTTCTGAATGTTGTTGCCCAAAGCTTTGGAGCTGAAATTTAGGTATCCATCCATGGATTCCTTCCTTAC